CCTGGCCATTGGATCTGGACAATGGAGGCAAAACTTTAGCTGAGATTCATGTTGTACGTGGACCGAGTCGCTTTTGTTCCAGTTGTTTTTAATGGGATGGATGCATTTTCCTCACTTTATTTGTGCACTGAATGCTTTGTATTTTATGTGTCGTGTGTGGCTCTATTTTGTGCACAGTGCACCGTGTACCACGATTTGAAAAAACTGAACTTGACACAGTTAAGTAGCCTACATCATCAATGTTTTTCTGTGCTGACCAGCTGGTTTAAAAAGAAGATCGGCAGAGGAGGGATTAGTAGCTGTAGATGCTCAATATCCTGAACTGTATGGTCAAAATGATCACATTTTCAACAGAAAAAAGTTTTTTTCAGCTTCACTCGGTCTGCTTTTAGAACCACATTTGCTAGTCAATGTAGATCACTTTCTTAAAGATGAATGTCATAGCTTTCTGCTTATACATATCGATGATTGCCAGCTAGCACAACTGATTGACTGTGATGATGCTACTTTCGCTTCGCTAAAGCGGCTGTCAAAAACACTGTGTGAAGCCCCAAGATAAAAAAAAAGACCTTGCAGTGCACCTCAGTGTTTTTCAGTCCTCAGAAAAACATGCCTTGGACAGTTGCGCTGCTTGGGTGCTCCAAGAAAGAATGAGTGATTTGCTTCATTTAGTATGTTCATAATTTATTGTAATCAGTCCTGACTTTCCTAAGTTGGTGCATCAACACCTTTAGATTGTTTGTACACCCCTATTAACTTGGATTTAGAACTGTGAAGGAGCCTGGTGTACTGTAGCCTTTTTGAGCTAGTTTGGTATTATACACAGTCAGCGAGTCCTATGCGTGCTTGTGTACAAATATCTTTCACATGCTACTTAGGGTTATTAAAGCCTGAGAGCGCTGAGCACTGAGAAACCTGCAGCAGATATTCTCCCTGGCCCTGTGGCTGCTGTGGGACCACATTAAGGATGCCTCTGAAGAGAGCTGGGTGGGATGGAATAGGCCCTGCGCTGATATGCTGGTGCTGCATTTCTCAGGACTGCTGACGGCAGCAAAGCTATTTTGTTTTTTATTTTTTTTCCTCTCTCCATCACTTTCAAGAAAGCACCACGGCTGTATCTTAAAATGGATACGAATCGGCTATAAATAGGACTGACTCCCACCACCTAGCCCCAGCAGCCAAACCTCTGCTTAACAGAGAATGTGCTGGAGAATGTAGATGGAAGCTTGGGGCTCTTCATTGCTGCAGAAGAAAATAAGTGCTTTAAGCGAACCCCAGCAGGGAGAGATTTCCTAGAATTTCCATGGTTTTTCTTCAGGCAGTCTTGTCATTGACTTCGATCAGGTTGTTTAGATTGATGGGTGAACAGTACCCTTACTTACTCTTACTGCCTAGGATGTTTTCGCTCAGCACCTACAGTAAGTGATATGTTCCTCTCTGAGCTTCTCAAGATCAGACGGACCCTTACCGCCCGTCTACACCTCCTCACCCCCTTACCCCCAAATCTCAGTTGCCTGGCAACAATGATCTCAACCCTACAGCAGTGACGCAACTGACAGGGCAGTGGTTCAACTGGTAATTACTCCTTTTCTTCACCTCTGCAGGGTCTGTCATGTTCTCTAGTGCCAAATTTTGGATCATAGGATCACTGTCCATATGACTGAACTGCTTTGCACCTTTGCAGACTCCTTCACAATCTTTCTGGGCATCGGACAGCTTGAGAACTTGAGAAGTAAAGAAATATACTTGGAGCCTTACAATACCAAAGAGTAGAACTGAGTGAATACAGGTTAAAGTTCTGTACGCACTCACTCACTCATTATGAATGAGTTTGTACCAACAGTGCAAACCACACTAATGATAATGTCAGTCACGTTTCAAATTTAAATAAAAAATGCTGAAGTCCCTTGGTCACCTCCCGCTGTCTAGTCTGTTGCATTTGAAGAAGTTCTCTTTGTTTTTGAGGCAGTGGACCTAAAGGACTGGCCAGTCTTTTGTGGTTAGTCATACCCTAACATGGACACCAGACCGATTGTCACGCTTCCACTCGTACTACCTGAGAAACTACCTGACTCGGTCAGCTGCATCAGACTCTTGGGGCCTTATCCGTGCAGCAAGCTATGGACCAGCTGGTTGTGAAGCGTAAATGACTGTAATGTTTTCCAAATTCTAGCAGTGTCTGATGGTTGGAGGCACAAGTGTATGGAATGCATATATCAGCAAAATTACTCAAGAAAATCAGTGCAGCTAAAGTTAGTTTAGTATTTGAATTTTATATTCCACCTTAAATGAGGCTGCAATACATTCAGGCACCTGTACAGGTACCAGGATGAAACTGCTACTCCATTTAAGGTAGGACTGAAAAGTCGGTGAATGAGAGGCCAACTTCTAGAAATTCATGCGTAAAGCAACATTTAGCACAGTTTTTGACAGGCCTTTGGGGCTAGTGTAAAAAGCGATATTGACAAGTTTTTGTTTGTACTGTTTACTATTTCAGATTTACTTTTGTGGTAAACTTGATTCTTATTAAAAATTGATGGGACATCTCAGAATAAAAATCCACTGCTAGCTACAAAAATAGGCCAATACCTAAGCATCTTAAATGGTTTTATTTGAAAAAACACGTACTGCAGTATGTACCAAAAATGTCAGAACTTACAGTAATTATACTGTGATATAAATTTTTGCCCATACTGCCTACTACTATGATGATAGAGGTGTGCATGGGCATATAATTGGAGCCTGCACCCGACCAATACCTGTAACTTTGAGACCCAACCCATCCTGGCCTGACTGGTACTTTTTTTTTGTTTTGTCCACAGCTAACAGTTAGCAAGAGCATAAGAGTAAAAGTACACAAGTGAGAAAATGTGAGAGAATGGACGAAATTTACATCATCACATTCCTTCAATTAAATCTACTACATTAAAAAATGACTCATTAGAAGTTAATCCCGACATGAGCCCAAACCTGCCCAATAACCTGATATCTTCTCTGGTCTCTTCTGGATTGGGACAGGCAGCAGGCATCCATTTCAAATGTCAAGTTTGCCCCTTAAGGTTATGGCTGATGGTGCTTAAGATTAAATTTTGTCCTTATCAGTTTTGTGGTTTTGTTATGTATTCCTTTCTGTTTCCCTGTCAAGTCCCAGCTCACTGTATTAGTCAGAAGATCTCCAGTATCATAACACATTTTGGGTGGATTCATGTGAGCTTGTTCATGTGCAGCTGCGAAATTCCCCCAGGTGATGAATCACCTCTGAATGCAGTCGCTGTGCACAGTTCGCCTTAATTCGATTTATTTTAGCCACTCAAGCTCAGGATGTACAGTAGTTATGCACATAAATATTAAAACGTGTGAGATCATTTTCATTCATTGTTTTGTTTTCCTAAATTCTCAATTGAGTAAGCTGATGGATTGCGATTTACTGTGGGCCCACTGTGAAGCACATCACCTGAGGAAGAAATGGGAAGTGTTTTAACCACGGATGAAGTGGTCATTAATATTTGTGACAGTGTTTTTTATAGTGGTTCTTTATATTTATATTTTTTATTTTTCGCAGATTGAGAGTCTACTTCATATACGTAAATTTAGTGCCATATTTTGTTTTAATCAATGTCCTCTGTGTGCATTTTTCTCATCTTCTCAGAGTAGAGTGAGTAAATGTTTGGCAGTGGAGAGTGAGAAGCTGGGAAGTCTCTGTAGATGTGTCTAATTTATAGACACAAGGCACACTCAAAAATGCAATACTGGATCAGTTTGGACCCAAAAGGTAGTGAGAGGCTCCCGCTACATTAATTGTTCCTAAAGCACTGCAAGTGTTAGCTTTCTCACAGCAGGGGGACATGTTGCTATGTGCCGTTTCTTCCCTCTAAAACCAGTCCCAGCCTCTGTTGGGCTGTAACTCACCCAGCCGCAGCCTTGCAGAGAGCAGACAGACTTGCCATTAAGGCTTCCGCGCTTCGAACAAAGACTGAATGGAAGTCCTGCGTGTTGTTTTCAGTGGTGCTGATGAATGCTTTTGTAGGGATGAGTCGGCTGTATTGTGGTTTGAGATACAGCAAAGTGTGTGCAGCGTCTCCAGACCGCAGGTTAGCCCCGCCAAATGGGAGTATAGCAGCTTTTTCTCAGAATTCTAATGTCACTGAGGTCAAAAGTGGACCAAACTGTATTTTACTTTGAACACACACTCCTCTTTGACTTGAAATACAGTTTCTCATTTTGAAGGCTGACCCTGATAGTAACTACTTTCAGTCTCTATGGTATTAATTCTGATTATCAAGCTCCAAGGAATGTGTTGGGGCCCTGTGCGGCTTTGATAGATTGAATGCATGGTAAATGCTCATCCAGGTCCACAGCAACTCCTTCCATTATCTCTGGCGTATTCATGCTCCCTCACTGTCAGATTTACTGATGTTCAAATGTCAGCAGTGAGATTTAGGGCAACACATGAATTTTAAAAAGACAGGATGCTTCTGTCTATTGTGATCCACCAAAAAGCCCTGTAGCTCACAGACCAGTAGCTCACTGTAGGCGTTTCTAGTGTTCTGGAGTTTTCTTCTGCTGAACTGTTTGACATGTAGTGAAGTTTAAATTCACATTTCTGTGATGTTGTTTGCGCTTGCATTAATATTTAACCTACATTTTACTCAGAAAATAGTATACAGGTGTTTTCCTCTCTCTTTTTCCACTGAAGTACCAGTGTGTGTTTTCTGACAGTACCACTATTATGCTCACAAAAAGTGACATACAAATTACAACCCTGTAGGTTTTTCAGTTTTGTCCGTGCAGCAGGCAGACATCTCAGAGTAATTGCCTGTTTCTGTGGCACCATGTTTTTTATGTCACAGACTGCCTCCGTGTTCACTAGCAGATATGTTTCACCACTCTTTTCTGTGGTCTTGTCCATGAAGAGAGGCAGGAGAGAAAGTCTGCTGAAAGGGTCGAAGTGACTGCAGTGGCACTGAACTGACTTTCTGCTCTTATCACTCTCCCACTAGCACATCACTCCAGACAGCTACATCCCCTGCCTGACGGACCTCTGCAAGGCATTGTGGGAGGTAATGCTTAGCTACTACCGGACCATGCAATGGCACGAGGAGCATGACAAAGAGGAGGCAGCTGACCCTGACGCAGGTAACTCACACTCCATTTTGCAACCCTGTGTGGTATTGCCTATTCAGATTCCTCAGCTCCAACTAAAGAAATGTTTGATAAGAAATGCAAACTCGGACTTGGGCCAAAAGAGTTGGTCTTTTAACTTTGCTTCTTCAGTTTTGCATGGTTTTCAGAGAAGGCCTAATGATTTCTGTAAGAGAAAAAAATAACCGACATGTCTTTAGTTCATTTTTATTTCATGTAATTATGCTTGTTCTATTTAAACTCTGCAGGTAATTTAGGAATACTAGTGCTTATTTAAATTTTGGTGACAAAAGCAAAATTATCTTTTCAGGGTTTTTTTTTCTTGTGGTATCTCAGTAGATACAGCCAGATTAGCTCTCCCATTGGTCTGGCCTTCAAGATTCAAACTGAAGGCCTAATATGTCAGATTAATCAGTAACATGATCAGAAAGTGACAGAGGAGTCCACCAAATCACATTTCGATATCTTATAAGTGGGACTTTTCTCTGAGGAAAAAACATCACTCTAGGCCTCCTAGAAGTCCTAGATACATCACTGACTGAGAATACGAGTGCACAAGTGTTCGCCTGACCAATGCATTTTAGAAATGGAAAACGGCGGCAGCAGCAGCTCTGTCAGGGCTCCTTACTGAAGGATTCACTGTAAAGCTGCTACAAGGTAAAATATATGTTGATATGTCTGTTACAAGCTTCAAATAAAACACGGAAGTTACAAGTTTCAAATCCATGTTTTATATTGATCGGCCAGAAAATGTACTAGTGTCAGAACTATGTAAGCAAGCCTGTCTGAGATTGCTTGTTAGTGGCATTATTGTTGTTGCTTCAGTGAAAAACTGAAAAGGCAAATTTGAACACAGCATGTCTGCTCAGAAAATACAACCAAAGTTGTAACCAAAGTACAGAAATTTTGTATGGTCAAAGGCTGGTTTCCCCTCTTGCAAATGTTGCGTGCAGGAAATATAAGCAAGAAGTTGTAATGACATGTTGATCACAAAACAAACATAATTTTCTCTGTGACATTTAACACTTTCTACACCAATCAGAAAGCAGCTCATGGTGCCACATGCAACCTGGTTTGTGATTATTCATATTTGAATTATTATTGAGCCTTGTTGTTGAGTCTATAAGCTAGTAAATGTCATGGGAAAAGTTCAGCAATATGCTTATTCTGTCTCAAGAAGGGTTTTATATACCACAACAAACATTTGCTTGCAAGCACAAATTGCAGGGATTTCTTTTTAGTTGGAGAAAACTCCAACCTAAATGGACGAAACTCTGACCCAAAGACTTACTGTCTTTACTAGAAGTGAAATAGTATTTGTTATTTTGTAATGCATACAATACTGTGTGAAAGTCAGAGACCACTGTACATTTACTGAATTTCCTGTCAAAACGGCCTTTGAGTACAAGTTATTCACTTTTCATCAGATATTTGAGGAGATTAGACATATAATAAATGATATAAAAATATATAAAATAATAACCCGCATAAGAAAGAACAAAGTCAAAGGAAAATAAGTTTCCAACACTTTGTACATTTAATACATTTTGAACTAAAGAAAATGGAGCTCCTACCCATGCAAGACGTGGTAGACCACCAAAACTGTCCCGGTCAGATAAACAGTACATCTTTGAGAGAAAATCAAGCTCCAGACTTGCCTTAGATTTGAAAAATCCACAAGTGTTTCTGTCCTGTGAGAACACAACTTGGTGCTATGGGTCTGAAAGGATGTGTAGTGTTCAAGAAGCCGTTATTGAGAAAAGGACATGAAAAGGAGAGCATCTGCAAATCAGGCAAAGAAGCTGCTGGTGTTCTCAGAAGAATGGACTGACCACCCCAGAGCCCAGGCCCATTTGCTAGTGGAAGCAGAGCGGAAGAGTTTAATAGTCCAGGGAACTAGACTCCGCCAGACGTGATACCACTGGTGTGAGAACAGCAGACAGACACCGTGTCTCTTGCTTATTCTTGTTCTGTCGACACAGCTGCTCTCATCCTTTAAGCGTTCTTTTGAAGCGACTGCATGGTGATCTGCGCTCCAGCGACTGGCTCCCTTATTGGTGAACTTAAATCAAATTAAGCAGAAGGAGATGGAGTTTCATTAGGATGCCCACTACCCTTGCAGCTGATGGATTTATAGGCCTTGCATTTGCTCTTTACTGCAGGAGCCATTGCTCCCTGTGTGAAGTGGCTTTTCTTGGTGCCTTGTTTTTGCGCAGCAGGGGCCGGGGAGATCAGGCGGGTAATTGAGGGGGCTATTGCCGTTTGTATTGGAGTGCAATGTGTTTTGCAGCATTTGCCTCTGTGCCTCCCCTCGGCTTCGATCTTTGAGGTCATTGAGCAGGCCTGAAATAGACTGGTGCTTGTAGTTGGTTGAATCTGACATTGGAAATTCATTGAATCACTCCAGAGTACCCTTGTAACCACTCCAGTGAATGGCATACAATGTGCATTAGAGGAGAAAAAAATGTTTCACTCAAATGTTATTGACTTGGCCCAACTCATCAACATATTGAACCTGCCCTCTCTGATCTGTGTTCCTGTCAGTTTTTTCAATGCTATTACCTGCGTACTTGCAATGCTATTAGAGGACAAATGCTTCGTAGTCCTCAACCCATATATTTCAGTATATTTTTAACACTGCATCTCTTTTAGGCCTGTTGCATTAAAAATCAAGAATGGAAGACAGGAAATGAGGATGTAGACTGAAATGAGCATGCACAATGGTTGCCAGTTAGTGTTGAGACTGCGTTTTTTTTTCAGAATCAAGCAGCGTCTTTCATTAGATGCCCATTGAGGTCTAATAAGCAGTAGATAAACAAAGTTGTGTTTTTTTCCTCAGCCTACATTGTCTTCTCTCTGCTGTTTCTGTCTAGCTCTTTAAATATCCCTCTCTCTCTTTTTCTTTCCACTTCCCTGAAGTTCACAAAGCAGCAGATATGTCTCCAGAATGCACTGGTTCATTCTAAGCTGCAGACGGGCAGAGGTCCTGCGTACATTGCCGAGGTGTCAGAGTCTGGCGTGTTCTAGATAAGCACAGGATTCTTGCTTGTGTCATCAATTAGACCAACTTGCACGGATATGAGTAAGCCGGCAATGAGTTTATAAAATAGGTTTCTTCTGCTTTCACAAGGCTGTCCTCAGCAAGGAAATTGCAGCTAGCTTTTTTTGTCTTCTCATAAAGCTGTTATACTTCTGCCTGCTTGGCCGTAAAGCTTTCTTGGCCCGCGTTTGCCTCGGTTACTGAATGTTAGGCATCTTGCTGATTGTTTGACCTTTTAAACAGGAGATTCTTGCTTTTTCTAAAAACTGATTATAGCCTGGAAAAGCGCTGTGTTGATGACATGAAAAAAGAGCCATATTAGAAAACAGACACATACCACTTCTGTTTGTTCAGTAATCATTTCTGTTCATTTAGGGAGGGGGCAATATGGTGAAAATCTAATATTGCAATATATTTGTTCCCCAATACATGATTTGCATTACAGCATTGAGCTTTTCTGAGGTTTGATAAGTTGGCACAGACAAAAAAGATTTCACAATATGGCAAAAATGTAGTATTGCAGTACTTGCAATACATTTTTTTCCACATTGCATGATGTGCATTATGACATCGAGCTGTTTGAGATTTAATAAGTTGGCACAGACAAAAAAGAATTTGTGATATGGCAAAAATCTAATATTAGAATACTTATGATACATTTTTTCCACAATAAGTGATGTACATTATGACATTGAGCTTTCCTGACAAAAAAGAACTAGTGCCACATTGAAATGATACTATCAAAAATCATGAATACAATCATTATTTAATGTTTCACAAACTGCACTGCAATAAATCCAGTTGAACAGGACTAATTATGTTCTCTTTGCAACTAAACATGGAGTTAATCTTTGTTCTTTAAGTGCCAACAATATCCACAATATACATATAGTGACAGTTTTAAAATAATTGATCACGGTAAAGATATTGTCAAATTACCCATCCCTAATATTCATAACGTTAGTTTGTTCTAATGTTGTTCTAGTTTGTTTTCCCTACTCAACGCTTGACCCAACAAAGGAACTTGTTAATTAGTTACAAAAGTTAAATCAGGTGTTCTAGATAAGAGACAAAAGTGTGCATAGTGTATGGTCATTAGGACTCAGAGACTTAAGTCCCTTTCACACCAGTGGGACATTCTGCCCATTTCACTGAACTTTAATGATTATTTTTCCCCCATTCAAAATTACAGCAAACTTCAGACCATTTTTGTGATTGCTAGGATCTTGTTACTACTTTGAGCCCAAACACTGATCTGATGAGCTGATTTTAAGAGAAATTAGGGTTTCTTCATCCCTTGTTGTTGGTAAAGCTAAGGAAAAATACCCCCCGCCCCAACCCAGTCGAACTGTTTGCTGCGGTTATTTTCCACATGGTTGAACGAATAAGAGGATTCTGTTGCCAGCTCAGGTCTACATCTTATTTTAAAGTTGTTGGCAACATCCTGCAAGGAGGGGCATGTTTGGAAAGTTTTAGTCTGTTGCTGTGATTTCACCTTCATTGTAAACCTCACGCTTGCATGTTTTGTACAGGATGTCAAGGACCCATAATGCATCCAGCCAAGAAGACAAATCATTTTTCTTTTGAATGTTTAGTATTTGTACCAGGGTTTGGTTTCATCTGCTTTTTTCTTTGGCTATACTTGGCCCACTGCTTACCCTCACTCACTGTCTTCTGAGCCTTCAGAGAAGTGGTGACTCCTCTGCAAGCTGATCCTGTGGCCAGTAGTCTGAAGGGCGAAGGGTGCTTTCACTTGCTGTGACAAGTGAAATCCTGTGGCCAGTAGTCTGAAGGGTGCTTTCACTTGCTGTCATCGGTAAAATGAGCAGGAGAATGGCCTCAGGCCTCAGTTCTCTGTGCAGCCTGATATACTGAGCTTGTCAGGTTAATGTGGTGGTCATTAATGTCACCACCTAATACAGTTGTTTCGGTAATGAATATAGCAGAGTATTTC